ACACACACACTTTTGCACACACCTGTGTGTGTATATATATGTTTTGTATTGTCTGTCTGAAAATATATCTGTCTATTCCAAGGGCAAAGATATGGTACTGTCAGTAAAAAGACAATAGTAATGAAAACTAAAAAAACCCAAACAAACAGATATTTGACCCAAGGAACCTACTTTTACAAGGATTCACCCGATTGAAGCCCTGTGGGGGCTGTCTGTACGTTTTATATATACATACATACACACATGTATGTATATACATACATGCAGACATACATACATATATTTGGTGATAGGGCAAAACTTTCCATAGCCCTCATTCACAGAGGTAGAACTATGCCTGTCAGATTCATCCATGTCATAAGGAAGCAAGGAGGGCATTGCAATAGTAACTGCATGGTGGTTCCAGGCCACCCTCAAAGCAGGAGACCTGAATCAGAATCCGGTGACCACCAGTCCCATAGCCTTGGGAGAGCAGCCCTCTGCTGGTCCTCACACTAAGGTGATTGACCCTTCAGGCCAGTGGAGTGTGCTGGCTTGTTAGATCTGCTACCGTTGAGTCTGTACAGAATAGTCTTCTGTCGATGAGCTTTAAACAGTCTTCCACCATAGATGGCAGCGCATGATGACGGCGCTCCATTCATGCAGCAGACTGCCTCACAGCAGTGAACTGCTGCACGCCATCACGTGGATGAGGTTCTGTGCACCGTAGGGTTCATGGATGTGGAATGTCCCTTGAGCTGTAGTGATGTGCGTGGCCCCGAGTTTGGGGTGTGCTATTACTTATTTTCTTCACACTCTCTGTTAACTGTATTTATATCCCAGACCATATGTTGTCGACTTCTGCTTCGACTATAGGGACGGAGTCTCTGAACTTAACGTTTTCAGTCAACCCGAGGGACCCGAGACCCATCGGTGTTGTGTACATAGAGGTGTGATCCACGCTCACTTTCCTGGAGCACTCCCTTGTGGGAACAGACTATCAGTGGTGTGTCTGTCTGATGAGGGGCAGTGGTTTAAGTGCTCGGTCCTTAGCTGAAAGGTTGGTGGTTCAAAGCCACCAACTGCCCCACGGGACAAAGGTGTGGCAGCCTGCTTTGGGAAAGATGACATCTGAGGAAATGCTACGGGGCAGTTCTTCTCTGCCCTGCAGGGTCTCTGTGCCCTGGTGTTAGCTTAATGGCGGCAGGTTTTATTCTGATGGTGGACATTGGATGTTTGCTGTCAGTGCGGAAAAGAACATGTACGGGTCCTACTGAGATTCAGTGTAGCCGACAAGGAACAAGTATTGGGTTTGGGAGGAAATCAGAGTTATTTGCACACGATGGGACAAGGCCTCCTTCCTGCTACCCCCAAACTAAGAGGGCAGAGTCCAGTGTAGACGTTCCTGTTGTTATCATTGCCTTTAGCCTATTAGGCTAAAGGGGTTCAAAATGCTGTGAGAGAGTGTGGCGTGGGGGGGCTTTGCCCACTAGGGAGGAAGTTGGTGGTGCTGGGCTGCATCTTGCCCCACTGGAGTCTCTGTTTACAGAGGCGTGTAAAGGAAGCCATGGGACGTGTGTGGCTGTACACAACCAGACAACTGGGATTGCGTGGCTAGGCGCTGATGGACAGAGAAGCAGAGGACAGAATTAGAGACATCTTCTGGGAGGCTGGGACATGGTCCCAAATGCAGTACCATGCCACAGCAAGGTGGAACGGAAGGCTTACCAGCACAGCCCCGTCCCTGTGATGGGCGAGCGAGCCTGCCGGCAGGGTGAGTGGCAGAACAAGGGCATCATCCACAGACTCCTGGCATGAGGCCCATGTCTGAGCTCTGCAGCGACCTCCTCTCCACGCAGCTCCGCTGAGCTGCCTGTGTGTGCAGAGCCGGTGCCAGCAGGCCCGCCGAGCGGAGCAGCTGCTCAGGAGCAAGATGAGCAGGCAGAAGAGATGCCAGCGCGACACGCCCAGCACACCGGGACCTGTCTGGGAATACAGTTGGGAGCAGGGCCTGCAGGCCTGAGTACGGTTGTCGGTCTTGGGTCCCAGGAGCCTCAAAACCAGGACCACAGACAGCGCCAGACTAAACAGCAGGCACAACTGCCGCCAACCCTCGGTACAAACTCACAAATGCATACAGAAAGTGCTGCAACCAGGGGTCCAATTCACATGTGCACAGGCTCAGCCCAGACAACACGTGTTTAAACACGCCTCTGTCAGCAGTGGGTGGCTGTAGGCAAGCTTTCTCAGCAATGTACCAGCCTCAGTTGTCTTTAAAACTCCAGACCCACCGTGATTCTGACTCACAGCAACCAGTAGGACAGGGTAGAACTGGCCCTGTGAGTTTCTGAGACTTGAGTCTTTTAAAAAAAATATTTTTATTGGGAGCTCTTACCGATATTATAACTCTTTACTGGGCTGAACTGCGAGCAGGAGTATGTCCTTCTGAGCAGCGGCTGGTGGTTTCCAACCACTGACCCTGTGGCTAACAGCCGACTCCTGACCACGACGCCACCAGGACACCTGGCGGATGCCTGCACTTCCATTCTGATGTGGTGTGAATCAAAGCATGCAGGAAGGGCTAGAGAGACGGAAACATCTACTTCCTGAGTGCTTCCTCCCCCACTACCACGACCCAGTTCTGCCTGACAAATCCAGCTCGACCAGAGTACACACATGGGTACAGATAAACGCTCTTGCCACATGGACTTCAGGACAGATAAAACTCTCATGAGCAGTATTTGGGAGTAGTGATATCATGAGGGATGGTGGGGGGACGGGGAGAAAAGGGGGACCCATCACAAGGTTAGATTTATAGCCCCCCGCCCCCAGGGGATGAATAACAGAAATAAGGGTGAAGGGAGACAAGGCACAGTGTAAGACATGAAACAGCAATGATATAGAATTGATCAAGGACTCATGAGGATGGGAGGGGAAAGGAGGGAGGGGAAAAAGGAGAAGCTGATACCAAGGGCTCAAGTAGAAAGAAAATGTTTTTGAAATGTTGATGGCAACATATGCACAAGTGTGCTTAATACCATTGAATGATGGATTGTTAGAAGATTTTTAAGAGTCCCCCAATAAAATGGCTAATAAAAAAGGAATTACAGATACAGGACCATCAGCAGGTCTTATTATGAACAAATCCTAAGAACATTAAAGCTGTATTGTTGAGACAAGGGGCTGAGAACTTGTGCCAAGTTGTCCCCGTTGTGATAAGGCTCCTGTTCACCCTCTGTGAGTAGCCAGGGCTGTCCCTGGTGAACCTGCGTAGGGAACATTACCCCATCCACCCTGCAGCTCTGCCGTTTCTGCCCCTTCAGGCTCCTCTTGTTCCCTAAACACAAAGAACATTTAGAAGGAACATGCGATGAAAATCAATATACTTGTTCATTACTGGAACATGATATGTTCCTTCTAAATGGTCTTTTGTGGTTTTACTAAATCCAAGGGGGCGTCAAAAAGTTTTTGGACAGTGACAGCAATTTTGAAGCCACTTCATATATGTCTGTGTGTGCGTATGTTCTTTGTACAGATTTGTGGACCTATCGCATGTGGATGACCCTGTGTGTTAGGCCGGGTTGACTAGAGAAACAAATCCAGTGATACTCATATGTATAAGAAAAAGAGCTTTATATCAAGAAGTAATTGTATATCAGGAAAACATCCCAGTCGAGTTCAACTCAAGTCCGTAAGTCTAGTTCTAGGCCATAAATCCCTGGTCAGACTGATGCAGCCATGTGCAATGATGCAGGAAGGTCACCGGCTGTGGGTGCAGAGTCTTGTGGGTCCAGTGGTGGTGAATGCATCTCCAGGGCTAGCGCAGGTCTTGCCATGGCTCACTGGTCTGAAGGTGACGGCAGAAAGAGAGGGGAGGTTCCCAGGACCCTCCTTTTGAGGAGGCCACGCCCACCGGGAGGCACCATCAGGCTGTGACCTGATTGACAGGCTAGACTCCACCCCACACTTCATGTTGACACGAAATTATTTAACTACCACATCCTGTAATTTTTTGACATTTGGAAAGCATGAATGTTTTCACACATAAATTGCTTTGTGTGTATGTGTGTGTGTCTAACTAAAAACTCACTACCATTGAGTTGATTCTGACTCCTAGTGAGCCTGTAGGGGACCACGAGGGCAGGGTAGAACTGCCCCGTGTCTTGTTTCCAAGACAGTAACTCTTGTCTTTCTCCCATATGTGTACATGTGTGTATCTGTGTCTGTATATGTATATACTCACGTATATGTATGTACACATACGTAAGAAAATGCTATTAAGGATTACCATTTGTACTTTGATGACTAAAATGTTGGAATTTCTAACGTAGAAGCAGAAAACATAATTCCGGTTGTAAAAACTAAATCAGGAACCTGACAAATAGACATATCTCGGATCCCTGGACTGGCAGCTTTTCATGCCCTTTCTTTTCAAGCGACGCTCTTGGTTTGGGACGGCGATGAGCAAACGGGTCGATGTTTCATTCTATGATGAATGTGATCAGACCAGGATAATAATCCGTATTGCCCGCGATTCGTGATTATTAATGTCATTTAGCAAGATCATCAGTGCTACCTGTGTGTCTCTTCTTAGAGGTCCTTAATCATTGTACCCATCGGTATGTTTTAGAGAAGAGAACTTACAAAAGCCGGCCCACTCCCTGGTCCTCATTGACGCATGGCGGCCCCAGAGGACCCCGTGGGTCTCTGAGACAGTAGACCTTTCCAGAAGTGGAAAGCCTCACCATGCTCCCCCTGTGGATTCAAACTACTGAGCTGTGGTAGCAGCCCATCCATTAGCAAAAGGCAGAGAATTGAGTTTTTGAGCTGCTTGATTCACTATTTTTGTTAAATAAGTTAATACTGAAATGTTTTACCTTTGATTAAGTTACTGGAGTGATTGATTTTTGTCGTTTTTGTTTGTTTCTCTGTCAGAGCCCCACCGCAGATCAGGCGTCCCAACCGGGAAGTGAGACCCCTGAGGAAAGACGTGGCAGGCCTCGGAGCCCGGGGAGCCGTGGGCCGAGCTCACCCTCCGTGCAGGAGTGAGAAGCCGGCAGCGAGCAGGGACAAAGAGTGCAGGGCGCGAGGCAGAGACGACAAGGCAAGGCCCTCTCTGCGTGGCTCGTTCTCTTGTCTTTGGGTGGGCAGGATGATGTTGGCAGACTTTTCAAGGTGCCTTGGTTTTGATGTGGAGGAGTTAAAAAAAAAGCCCGATTCGTAACCCAAGAGGTCTTTGCATTTTGAAGGCCATGTGGGAATGCCGATTACCTACGCAAAGGTGCGTTAAACAATCCCCGGGCTCATGTGCACCGCCGCGCGCACGCGCGTGTGTATGTATGTGTGTGTGTGTGTGTTTTCCCAGGCTGTACATCTCCCTAGGAAGGAGCAGACCACTTCGTCTTTCCCCCACCATCAGGAGAGTGTTATTTCAGAAAGCTGTTATCTAGCTAGATCACGTCTTGTCATAGAGATGTGCAGTTACGTACATACGTGTGGAAAGACATAGCAGCCAAACTCACTGCCATTGGAGAGTCGATGCGACGCACACAGGACCCTGTGGGACAGGCAGAGCGGCCCTGTGGTTCCCCAGACGGGCTCTCTACGGGAGGAGACAGCCCCGGCTTTCTCCCAGGAGCCATTGGTGGTTTTGAACTGCGGACCTTGCCGTCAGGAGCCCAGTGTGGCACCACTACTCCACCAGAGCTCCGAAATATACGTGAGGGGTCTTTAAGCGCTTGTAGAGAAGTGGCACCGAAAAGACAGCGGACGGTGTTCACAGACGTTTGGAGCAGCTTCATGGACGTCTGCTGGCCTGTGATCCCACACGGGTTTCTTGCTTTCCGTCTCCTCTAAATTCACCTGCCACTGCTGTGCTCCGACCTTTAGAGAGAACATTTGAGAAAAACAGTGGCGGGGCTGGGGCGGGGGTGGCTGGAGAAGCCATGTGTCTTGCTCCGGGCCCCAGACGCACGGTTTTGGTTTCTCAGTGTCGTGTTGAGAAGGGCACAGTGGAGCAGCTCGCGGGGACACTACTCTCCGTAGGGCCCATGGGGGCTTCAGGGAGGTCCGAGCTCACAGCCTCACGTGGCTGTTCAGGCCTCCCGGCCCTCCCTCCTCCTGAGAGCCACAGGGATGCTCACCAAGTCCGTGTGCTCCTCTTGATCCCGCGCACCGAGACTCAGGGTGCCCTTGGCGCAGTCCCACCCGTGGAAGGGCCAACGGAACCCTAGTGTGGGCCCCGCCCTCGGTGACCATGGCCTCCCTCCCTGGTGAGAGGGAGCCAGGTAAAGAAAGGAATGAGTCTTCTCAGCCGTATTCTGCAGTCTGACCCCAATGGACTTTGGAAAACGTAGTCGATGATTATTTTTGCTATTTACGCTATTTTAAGTCAATGTAGAAATAGATACGGGTAGAAAGGCTAATGTGCGTTTTTCACGCAGAGAGAATGGCCTGAAATGAAATACCAGGAAGCAAAAATATGTTAACATCAAAAAATATTTAATTCATAAGCCTCTGCTTTCCCCACATTGTTTCAGACCATGGCTTCGTGGTTGACTAACTCTTGGTAGAATAAGGAGTGTTTCAATTGCAGTCTCATAATTGAGGCAGTATATACTTTTAAGTAGAATTCAGATTGAAGTGGGGTCACTTATGTTTACCGAGAAGGTGTTTTTCAGGTTACTATAAGACTTAAAGGACCGTGCTTCCCAGAGTGCCCTAGCAAATGGCCGCATCTGAACATGTTCTTTCTCAGCAGTGACTCCATCAGACGGAAGTATCCTTTTGAGTGCTACTGGTCGGTAATTATATGAATGAGTCTATCTAATCTTGAGAAGCTGTCATTGAAGAAGAGTGTACAGAGTGTAAGGCTACATGCCACTTGATGAATGGTGATCCCAGGACCAAGTGGTATGCTTCATTTAGCGAGTCACACACAATTTCAAACAATTAGTACGACAAACGTCTACTCATTTATGATCAATTTTACTGACATAAGGACGTGCACCCCTCTTTTGTGAATGACACACTAACCCTCTGGTAAACAAGATGGATAGACCAAGCGGCTGCAACAGCGGGCTCGCGTCTAAGAACCGCGAAGATGGCGCGGGCCTGGTGGTGTTTTGTTCTGCAGGGCAGGGTCGCTAAGGGTACCCAACAACGTCAACATGGCCAATGCCATCGGATGGTGGGCGCTCACAGAATGCCCTGGCTCATTTTCGCCACACTCTTTTATCTGTCAGGAGCCCTGGTGGTCCTGTGGGTTAGGCTTTGGGATCCTCACCCTAAGATAGGCGGTTCAAACCCATTGAAAGGTGAGGCCGCCAGATCAGCGTGTGGGGAAGATGGACAGCCCCAGAAGGGCCTACGCAGGGGGCTCGGGGCTGGCACTGGCTGTTGGCAGCGAGCTTGGGTTCTTCTGTCTGTAGCCAGCCTAAAGTGGCAGTTGGGGAATGTGTGTAGTTCTGCGGGATATTGGTTAATATTTTTGATTCTATATGGTGAAAGTGGAAAAAAACCAAAACACCACAAATGTGTACATTGGAACGTTGCTGACTCATCAATTGAGCAACTTCTCCAGTGGACTAAATGGCAGTATTCAAAACGCCAGAAACATCGTTCCTGAGGTCTTAAAATGCCATTTGCAACAGACTAGCTATAGAAATGATAACCCTGACCTTCAGCAAAATAGGAAACCAAGTTCTGCTTTATAGCGTTGTGCAAAATTGCTGTGGGTATTGGGTGGGGGTGGGCTTCAGAAGTTTGTGAGAAAAGTCCATTATAATTTCATTCAGTCTTTTTCGTGAGTTTTTTTGGAGCCCCTCCCTCAATATTTCCAGGCTGGCATATGCCAGGTTAACCAGCATGGTGTTGGTGAACTCATTAGGCGGTGTTTCCATCATACAAATACATGAGTCCCGGTTATCTGGTGAATTCTGACTCACACCGACCCCCTAGGAGACTCCGGAGCGCAGGCGATGGTTCATTGTAGTTGTTTGAGTGGGGAGCGTCGGTGTTCCGTTTCTCCCTTTAGCTCTTAATGTCATTTATTTCACATCTGTGTAAGTTAAGTTTCATTAGTGACTCTGTTCCATCGTCAGCTGGCAAAGTTGCTCGGCGTGTTAGTAAGTGGTGCTTACACAGGTAGGAGAGGGTTGGGCCATGCCACCAGCACCCAGGGGTCCAGAAGGATCCTCAGACTACCTTCACACTCTTCCCCGGCTCTGCTGTGTCCCACCTTCCCATGGCAAGCAGGACTCTGGTTTGTAAAGCCTCTGTTAGTTGCCCCTGTTTGGAAAGCTTCTGTAACGTTTCTTTGCGTCTGGTCTTTCCCCAGAGCCCTCGGGTTGCATCGGTCTGTACAATGACAGCTCTCTTCGCGGAGATGTAGGATTTCACCACAGTTAAAATCGGTTCTCCTGTTCACGGCGATTTAGAGGCCCTTTGGCTTGGAATTGCTACGAACGATACTGCTTTGCATAGTCTTCCCTGTTGGTGCCCATCCATGCCGGATGGAGTGGTGGGCCACGGACCCGTGAGCGTTGGACTGTGACTGCTGTGGTCAGGGGACGCTGAGCAGACGGTCCTCTTCGGCGCCACACCTTTCCGTGGCTGCCCCTCTTAGAGAAGGAGCTGCTGCCCTGCGACTGGGGCACTGGGCGCTCCGTGGTTCCTCCTCACCCACCCCCCCCTTCACTCTGTTCTCACTTGGTCCGTTCTCTGGGGTCCCTGAGCCATTTGCCTCCAGCCCAAAATGCTGGTCCCGCTCTGCCACGTAGGGTTGCTTCGAGCCCAGCGGCCTCACAACAGCCCTTCCTTCAGATGCGAGCCGGACAAGTGCCTCTGCGCTAGCGTTCCGACCCTCTGCTCCAGCACCGCGGTGCGCTGCGTCCCCGCTGCGCCCGTCCGGTGGTGTCATCTGTCGGCGGTAGGTTTGTGGTGCTGGCCTGCAGGTGATGCCCGCCTTCCCACTGTGTTGGGACCGAAGCTCCAGCTTGATTCTGCTGCCACGCTGCCCAGACAGCGGACAGTGTTGGTTCTAGTGCTGTCACCAGGGTGCTGGCACGCCCTGTAGCAGGTGGCTCAGGAGGACCAGAGCAGCTGCAGGAAGAGAGCGTCCACCTCCCTCACTTCTGTTGACCCAGCCTTCTGTTGACCTCTTCGACAGGGCTGTGAGAAGAGGTTACCGTGTCACCAGGGCGTGGACTCACTGGGCCACTTTCCCCGCTTCCCTTTCACAGCATCACAGCAACTGGGGGGCCGGAGCCCCAGGCAGGCCCTGGCCCTGCCGCAGAGGGTGTTCGGTGGCCGAGCTGCCTCTGGGAGCACAGTGTGGCCCCTCTGAGCTGAAAATTTTTTGGCAGAACCCTGCAGAACCCTGAGCGTCTTAAGTCATTTTTAAAGCCACCCTATTATTAAATAAAAAATTGGGGGTAAAGCATATTACCTTGATGGCCTTAATCATACTGTGTCTGGAAAGGTTCTTTTACATCGTCATCGGGGTTCAAGGGCCTTGCTAGGAAGGACTTCTGGCTCCCGGGGGCGAGGGGGGGCGGGGTGCTTACTGGGAAGAGGCTTTGTAAGAGACTGTGTCGGAGCCCTGGCGCCTTCCTCAGGCGCCGCTTTTTGGGAGCTTTTGGGGGCACAGGAAGCGCTAGGCTAGCCCCGCAGTCAGATGTTTGGAAAGGAGGTGCCTTAGGGAGTTCTGGGAGCCTGAGCGAAAGGCCTGAAGGCTCAGGTCTTCGTCAGCATGAAGTGGGGGACCCTCAGTGAGTTATTCTGCTCCCCAGTAGCAGGGTTTTCTCTCCCCCTCCCCTGTTAGCCCGACTACTGTCTGGGCACGATGGCCGTTCTCTGCCCACACATTCAGCCAGAGGTGTCTCCCCTTCGAGCAGAGGCTATTTTACTCTCATTTGCACACGTTCATAACACATGGACCAGTCTGCCCATGCCTTCTTTTTATTTGTCATCTTAATTTGATCCCACCCCTTTAAGACGTCATGGTGAAAGGGCACACTGAACGCACACTGCACCCGTTCAGTACCGCCGGCCCCTTCTGATGTCAACAGAGGGCCGCGGCGCTCTGGGCCATCGCAAAACGTCACCACCGAGTTAAAAAATAATTTCTAAGCGAGGATAGTGTGGGAAAAGCTTACCGATATTCATTAAAGCGAGTTATCTTTTTTAAACTGTTATGTGAAATGACTCAGTTATTTAAAGCATTTTGGATTTTAATTAGTTTGCTTATTTTTAACAGTTTCTCCACCAGGCGATTCACACATCCTGCCGTTCAGTAGTCGAATCGCACTCCCGAGAACACAGTCGGTCCCTGCACACTGCTCGTCCTTGCCCTCCTGTGAGCTCCCGTGTCCCGCCAGCCTCCCCCTGGGATCCACTGATCCAGCGTTCTCTCTCTGGGTTCCCCTACCTGGGTTTCCACACACCGGGCCCAACCGCCATGGCCGAATGAAACGGAGAACAACCTCCACTGGGAACCAAGCAGGCAGGTGGGCAGTGGGCCTGGTACTGACGCACCTCTCTGTCCCTTTCCCAGGGGAGGAAAAACCTGCAGGACGGCGCGAGCGATGGCGAAATCCCCAAGTTTGACGTTGCCGGCTATGACAAGGACCTGGTGGATGCTCTCGAGAGAGACATCGTCTCCAGGAACCCCAGCATTCACTGGTGAGCACCCCCCCCTCAGCCCC